GTGCTATGGCTATCCTAGGGGGTGCTTCAGCATTACGCTCTGACGTAATTGTTCATTTCTTTCACAATATTTCCTTTTTCTGGTATCTTTATTGATAACATATTAATCAATTAAATTGAATGTAATCTAATCATACTAATTGAACACATATGCTGCCATAAGAACATTTAAGACACACACACACACACACACACACACACACACACACACACACACACACACACACACACACACACACACACACACACACTTTGAACTGCTGATCAGTGGTTGGAGGTGTGTTACCTGTCACGCTATTCTTTCCATCAACGTTAGCACGCATCACAATCATTGTATTGCCAAAAATAATGGGAGCACCAGTGTGATTGAATACACTCATTTTGTATTACAGTAATAGTCAGAATATATTCTCAGCGTTTGACGCGGTGAATAGACAAAGCTGAACACTTTCACTTACAACAACAATAATGATTCATTTTATTTATAGAATTCCTAGTTTTATTGGTATACTCCATTCAATTTAATATCTCAAATATTTCACACTATTTATCATACATTTATGTAATTTTTTGTCATTTGTAGTACTGTAGTCTAGTAAATTAAATGAACCAATAATAATATAAGAATAACTAAAAGTGTATAATATAATTTAAAAAAACATGTGAAAAATAAATATCTAAATACAGGGAAAAAAGTAATACAAATAAATAATAATATTAAGTATAATAATGAATGAATTACTTAAATGACGAGTAAATGAAATGAACCAATAATATTATAAGAATAACTAAATGTGTATAATATAATAAAAAAACAGGTCAAAAATAAATATCTAAAAACACAAACAAAAGTAATACAAAAAATATATAATATTAATGATAATACATGAATTCCTCCAATGAGTTAGGTAAATGAAATGAACCAATAATAATATAAGAATAAATAAAAGTGTATAATATAATAAAAAAACATCTGAAAAAGAAATATCTAAATACAGGAAAAAAGTAAAACACAAATATATATAATATTAATAATACATGAATTACTAAAATGAGTCTTGTAAATGAAATGAACCAATAATAATATTAGAATTACTATTAGTATATAATATAATACAAATAAAAAACTGGTGAATAAGAAATATATAAATACATAAAAAATATAACAATAGTAGTAATAGTAACAATAAAATAATGAATTACTAAGATGACCAAGAGTCCATTAACATATAACCCCCCACATCCTTAACGGCTCAGACGTCTTACATAACCTATTTTATGATTTATTTCTGTGGCCTTGGTTTATTGGCCATATTTATATGGCTGTTATTAAATCAATAGACTTTTTCCAGTTCCAGTGTTTCCTGGACCTGCTGCAGGTTTCTTATCTTCCTCCTCCATCTCCTGCACCGTCAGGAGAGAGGAGTCTCTGCTGGAGAATTGATCCAGAGGAATCCCTCCTATTTTCCCTCTTCTCTGCATATTATGACAAAAGCGTGTTTTGGTGTGTTTGAGGCTGTAGTCATGCCGCGCGGGTGTAAAAATAACATCAGAGTGGTAGTACCAGGCACAAACAGGACGTATTTATGTAACATCACCATAAACTCACAATTACCTCAGAGACATCGGCAATAAAGGCTCATAAAGTTCAACCGTCTCTGTATATCACCTTTTGTTGGCTGTCATTTAGGGAAACACCGCATCTGATAAACCTCTCTAAAAGGAACTTTTCTCGAGATAAATGTAGAAGATACAACAGGAAGTAGATTTGTTGCTGTTCCTATCTGATACATGAATTCTATATTACTAACGGACAGAATGGAGGCTCTGTGATTCAGATGGGTTGAGGTTAACTTAATAAAACAAGAATATTCATCTTTATTATTTAGATTAATGAACATAAGACCTTCGAATAAATTAATAAGCAACAATGAATTTAATCCTGAACGTCAGAGTCTGTTGATTATAAACGTATTTACCGGTACTCTTTTATTGTGGGAAAAGTTCATTCAGGATCATGGAAATAGTCGTATGATGGAATAATCTCAGCTTTCTATTGTTGCAGAGCTTTCAACTGCATGTCATGGTCTTTATCAGTGCAGTTGCCATGGAGATGTTTTAGCTCATTAGTCACAACTTGACCAAAATGTATATTAAGTACATGATGACAGGTGGGGGTAAAATGTTAAAATATGGCGTTTTGTATCAGATGGAAATAAATGATTATTTTCATTATGTTAACAATTAATCAAAATGTCAGAAAATAGTGAAAATTCATCCAGCTTTCTCAAAATCCAAGGTGATATCTATACATTTCGTAGCTTTTCTCCTTACTCCAAACCCAAATATATTAAGTTTAAAGGGATCAAGTACAACAAAATACAGGAAATGTTCATATTAAAAACCTGAAAACAGCATTTTCTGCAATTATTTTTCTGTCAATTGACTAATCCGTTAGTTATTTACTTATTTTACAATTTTTTTCCATATGTCTGCTCCTGTGAGCTGACTCTTGGTCCATGATCTTTGACGTCTAGATGTGAGTGGTTTTGGGAACACCCGGGGGGAAAAAACGGTCACAGCATCGACTGGGTAGAGGATATAAGATTAAACCAAGGACAGAAACATAGATAAATATAGAACAGTGCTCATGATCACTGTGACTCCACACTTATCAATGAGTGTGCTAATCACTATCAACATGACTACACAGACTATGATTCATAATAACCTTCAATTCTACAGCAAAACGCCCAGCAAGCTATGGCCTCCGTGAGTCACTGAGACCTGGTGATGCTCACAATTCAGATCGATTCAATGCTCAAACTCCATAGCTGTGTGTGTGTGTGCGTTTGTGCGTCATCCCTGACATATGTTGTTTAAAGTCCATGTCAGCACTCCCTACACCTACACATTTGAATGGTTCCATAATTCACTGATAAGGTAATCAGATACACACACACACACACACACACACACACACACACACACACACACACACACACACACACACACACACACACACACACACATACTAGATCTTGTACACACTGAATGCTCTCTGTAATCAGTGTTCTGATCAGTTCTCTGATATGTTAAGATTAAAGGAAAATGATTGATTTTCGGCTGTTAGGAAGTACATGGAGTCACAGAAGAGAAGAAGAAGAGGGGGGGGGTTCACATGGATCAGGATGACAGCATATCTGTTTGTCTTCCTCGTTTCCTGTTATCTCTCCACTTGGTAATCAAGCCATTAAACACACGCAAAGTTACCCTTTTTTAAAGGAATAACTTCATTTGCAATCAGAAATTAATGTAGATTTTAAGATGATTTATACATAACATTTTACAAATATTAATTGACCTGTTTTTTTTAAACTTTTTCCTGCATTTATCTGACAGCTCAACATGCCAAACAATCTAATCAAATTATTTATCAGCAGAATAATTCATAATGAACATAATCATTATTTAATAGTTTAAAATGAGATCCACCTATTCAACTACAAATGTGAAATACTAGTTTACATTAGTGCACGAGTGACAATAGTTAGTCACAGAGAACATGTTTCTACTTTTAATTATTAAAGTACATTTTTTACTTTATACTTAAATATTTAAAGTTAATATTTGTAATGCAGTACTTCAACAGTGTGGTTTTAGTCATTTTAACACACACTCAGACTCTGCAGGACAATGGCTCAGTGTCTCTGTGTGTTTATTAAAAGTGACTTGACAGTAAATCAATAGAATGTCATCAGAATAATGAGAGCTTCCTGACAAATATAAAAAATAATTATTAACAGAACAATAAGTCAACTATAATGTTAAAACTCTCAGGTATTTTTGACTTCATCACGCGGTGGCCTTCTTCATTAGACATTAAACCTTCAATAAATGATTCCCTCTCGGATCACAACCCAACCCAACACTATATGAACCATTAACATTTACAGTGTTGAAATGCAAAACGGGGTACACATTAATGCAGAAGTAATAATAATGAAGGAGCAACATACAGTGTGTCAGAGTGAAACATTGACAGGTACATGGGGGGGGGGGGCTGGTTAGAGTTCAGTACCTAATAAAGGCAGCAGAGCTAAGTGTATATAAGATGTTGTTGTCTGTTACATAAATGAAATTGGTTGGTTTGAGGAGCTGTATTTTAATTGATCAGAAATGTTCCAATTAGAAATAAATCAAATGTAAACCAAGTTACACCCTAAAAGTGTGATTTGGAAAATATCAGAAAAACCACTAATTTTATTATGTTGAAAATAGCTCACAGAAAAAGTCATATTAAATAACTAAATACATTTAAATATTAGAGTCTATGTCTATGAAAAATGTCAAAAATATCGGACAAAACATTTCATAATGCATAATAAAAAATAAAGAAATATATAAAACATTTCTGAAAGTATAGTATGTCTAAATGTTTATTTTTCTCTTTCGTACACCTCTTAAAAGTGTTATTTTGTGTGATATTTCACACACTAATGCTTGACACGACTTTGTCTTGGTGTCTGGTATAATTGTCCATCAGTAGCAATACCAAGGTTCTTTGGATGAAACGTATTTAATTATCAGATTTTGGAAATTGTGAATCAATTATCTAAGAAGATCAGATTTCCGTTTCTAACATGAACTGTTGTTACTTTATCCCTAGTCTTAACAAACCCTAAATGTAGATACCATTAATCAAAAGGAGTTTTTGCAGCCCCAATGCTCCCTAAAAAAGTACATTAATCTTTTATTTTCTATATTCTCTGCTTACTGTTATAAGGGTTGTGCTGTAGACCACAGCCTTGGCTTTTATGGCTCTCATGGAAACATGCACACAAAAAAAACCACACCCATTCCATAAAGTCTGGTCATAAAGAGTAATAATCAGGCTTATCTATTATAGCTCCGCCCTTTATACCCCCACCCTCCAAAACTCAAATATATTCAAACAACCCATTCCCAGTCTGTCACTTCTGAAGCCCAAAGCTACACTTCGTGTGTCAAAGGAAAAGAGGAGAGATTTTTGCTCGGAGGATCAGTTGGGATTTTAGAAATTTTTACCTTTTTGAGCGCCCCCCACACCCGCAGACATCATGTGTACAGGAGCCTGTTCTAAGTTCATCGCCATCCCGCTCTACATCCTGGCTGCAGTGTCCATCATCTGCAACATCATGCTCTTCTTCCCTGACCTTGACACGCAGTATGCAGCCCAAGACCGGGAGGGGATGGAGCGCATCACGGTGGAGGTCAAATACATGGCAGGCCTCATAGGAGGAGGAATCCTGGTGAGTACATTGATGTCAAAAATGCAAATTGTCCATAACAAAAATGACATGATTTGACTAATATTGTGTTTTTCGTTGGTTAAATTGGTCAAGTTTAGGCCACTAAAACTAAGGAAAGCCTCTGTGCTTACTTCAAGTACACTCACAAGAAGCCAATGATGCAGTGTATATGACCTCAAGCAATTAAAGACATAGCCAAAGTCAAACAAACACAAAAGTGACCACTTTCTTACATTTAAACAAAGAGCACAGAAATAAATAATACAATAGTTTTGGTAACAGACGGGATCTAAATGTGCATCACATTTTTAAAGGCTTGATTCAGTTAAAGGGGCGCATTATCAGAACAAAACCCTGATGCTGTCATGGTGATATCATCAGGGTTGTCTCATCCTGGACATGGAGAACATGTAACAGTGAGCCCTTGTTACAAACTGACACCAAAATAGGAAATGGATGCCGCATACCCCAAGATGGCGCGGACGCCACAAAATGTCCTAGCTTCCGGGTTTAGCTCCTGGTTTCCCTGCTCTCCGGAAAGTGTTTCTGCTTTGACCGTTGACTTACATTGTCATAATCTCACATCATTTAAAATGATTTACGGGTTAGATTAAATATAAAAATCATAAAAGAGTTATAATTCATCTTTCGTTTCGTTCTATCGGGAAAATGCTTTTTGGCCTGCAGGGGACTTTATTACTGCAATACCGCAACTCGCCACTGTGAAAAAGCCGAAAGCCATGCTGAGTGGCGCGACTAATCCATTTGAGAGTTGTTTTGCATTGTGGGAATTGTAGGATCCCCTCTTTTTCCGAAATGGTCCATACTTTTGACTTAAAGTGAGGATATCTCAGCCTCTGCTGCTCTGATGTTGCAAATTCATTTTGTAATCTAAACCTGGCTTGGGACCTAACCTTATAGAAACAAAATATAAAATTGAGTGCCTCTTTAAAGTCAGTTCAGTTCACAGCGGCTTAGTGCTCCTGTTTTTTCGCTTAATTTTTTTTTTCTGTTGTCCAGATCTAATGCACAATTTACTTAGGAAACATTTCTTTCCCTCACGATCTTCCTTCAGTAATAAGGTTGTTTGACCCTGTTTATGTTTCTATCAATTAAATATGCCTTCTGTTCTATCAGGTCCTCGTTCCTGCCATCCACACTCACCTGACCAGCGCTAACAACTGCTGCGCCAACCGCTGTGGGGTAAGTATGCATTATGTGGATGCTGTCTGTCGTTATCTTATCTATCTGTTTGTACCTCTCATCGTGGATAAATTACTGTTACATAAACTGGAACATCCCAATTTTAAAAAGCAGTATCATTAAACTTTTCGGCATATATTTTCAGATAAAACCACAATTTGTTAACCATCTGTGCTAGAACTCTGTCCCCTGGTGTTCAGAAAACACAGCTTCTCCCTTCTTTCCCCAGAAACTTGTCAAATGTGCATTTATTATGGTGTGAGGTTCAGAACCGAGACGGACTATCTATCTAAAGCAAGTCCCTGGAATTTGGTTTTTACAGTAGTGAAATAAATCCAAACCAGTGTCTTATATATTTATTCGGAAATGTCAAGTTCAGTTTATTTTTGTTGTTTCAACCTGAAAAAAATCCAATGCAAACATAACAATTGATCAGAGTCATTAATATTAAAATAGTGAAATACCATAGCAATTTTTTTAATTATTATTATGAAGTTGTTGCCCTTAAAATGAATGAAAGCTACAAATATTAATTTTTTATATTCCCAAAAAGTGTCATACACCCCCCTTTTTTTATATTATTGTTTGAGTGTCAAGACTATTCCACAAGTTACCTCCTTTGACTGTTAGACATTTTTGTTTTTCATTGTTATTATCTTTTTTTTGCAACATGCAAGTAATGAATCATTCCTGACTGAAAGAACTGGGGTCAACAATGCGAAATCATCTCCAACAAAACGTGCTTCAGTGTCCACTTCCTGACTCCACTGTGTGCTCCATGCAGATGTTCCTGTCCATTGGTTTTGCAGCAGCTGGTGCGGTGGGGGCCATTTACAGTCTGAGTGTGGCTGCCCTGGGCCTGTCTAATGGGCCAACATGCCTTTGGAGCAATCTTCAAAGCCCCCTTCCTCAATGGGGGACACCCTTCGCCAGCGGGTACAGGCAGTCTTTATGGCCATACATAATGTAGTTTAATGTACCATTTTCTTGTATTTACCTTTTCTAATTCTTATCCTCTTCAGTAACGGGAGCTACCTGGGCGATAAAGCAATGTGGCAATGGTGCAAAAAACCAGAGAATGTGGTTGAATTCAACGTGGGACTGTTCTCCACTCTGCTGGTGGCGGCCTGCTTTGAGCTCGCCCTCTGTCTCATCCAGATGGTCAACGGACTCTTTGGATGTCTCTGTGGCACCTGCGGTGGCAAGGAAGTGAGAGCATAGCACACTACAGGGTTCAGCATGATAACTAGACTATAAGATCATCAGGCCAAAACTTTCTCCCAGCCTGGTCTGTATTCGAACGCATCTACTAAGAACTTGGTGTCCTAGTAGATGCGTTCAAATACACATAAAAATAGAGCACATATAATACATATTTATTTAAGTAGCTTAGCTTTTGGTTTCTCTAACAGACTTTCAGTTGTGCTGCGTTGTTTTTTATTTGTTCATATTATAAAAACACCTCCAATGTGACCAGACTTTAAAGGTCCTTACACACCAAACTGACACCAAAGAACACGTCCCGGCGGAACGTCGCCTCACGTCTCCTCTTGGCCATGTTTCGCACTGGAATACACCGCAAAGACTTCATCCGACGGCCAAGTAGATCATACGAACTGCGCATGCGTGAGTGGCAATAACTCTCCTTACCAGCAGGCGGCGGTAGTGTGTATTCGTCATCCAAAAGAGGCAACAACCGGAAGACAGGGTGTTTCTCAATCTCGAGTACGCTTGCTTGGTAGCACATGTCTTCCGAGCGTCTTGTTTCAGAAGCGAGGCAAGAATACTTCCTGGCATTCGGAAAACAAAGAGTGGAACAGGCGTCATATAAGAGGCCCCGCCTTACATTTTCCGCCACAGATTTGGGGAAATTGGTCCGTGCGCAAAGCATTGTGGGGATTGCACATGTGCAGCCTCGAAATTTCTCCAAACGAAGTACGCCGGGCTCGGTAGATTTCCAAGTATGCTGGACATTGGAACAGTACTTCGGCAGCACTCGATGACGTATATGCTTGAAATAGTGGCTCTGGAGCAGCCTTACTCGCGATTGAGAAATACCCACTGACTGCGTGATACACCGAGAGAAGAAGAACAGACTGCGTGATATAAACAAACAACAAATAGCGTGTGCGTTCCATTTTCACTCTACAACGAGAAGCTCATGGGGCTTTCCCGAACCTGTGTCGAGAGCTGGAGTTAAATGAAATCTCAGACTTGCCTTCTTAATAGTTTGTTTGGGTCCCTCACTTCCGTTTCGCTTCTCATGCACTGATTCGCTAGCTGAACAGCCAATCAGAGTGATTTCTTTGGCCGACAGCCTCCCGATTCAACATGTCGAATCGGCGGCGGAAGGTGTCGGCACGGCCGAAAAGACATAACGGTGCAGTACACACCAAGGCACACCAAGGCACTCTGAGTAGGGCGACACAAACCTAATACAATTTTGTGTAATATGTTGACAAAAAAAAAAATTCAACGTCTTCTCGTGGTTGTGATTTGGCACGATATTTCTTTATTTTGCAAGACCTAACTTAGACAAGACGTTCTGAAATTCCAAAACACAACGCTGTTTCAAAATGTGGTTTGTATTTATAAATTCTGTTTAATTTATAACCCCAATTATTATCGCTCTCCACCATTCCTCTTTCAGATATAATACAATTAGATTATCCCCTTACTTTAGCGTCTGACTGTATATTAATGCTTTTTTTTAAACTCCAGATGCCTAAACTAACCCTGTCTTTCTGCCTTCTCTCCACAGTAAGCTTACTGTGACACACCACGACACACCATGACCTCTTGAAGAATAAATGACAGGGATCATCATCACATTCATCAACTCAATTCATCACCACTATCATAACCTACTGTATCATGGGGGGGTTTGAGATAGGGGTTGAACGTCTCTATAAACACAGTCCTATCTGTCCAAATCCTCATTATTCTTATTACTAATTCTTCAAAAGGAATGACTGGGATGATCAATAAATATTTCTTCTGTACCCATTTTATTATTCTCATATTATACTGATTGTAGATGGAAAAACTGATGTGTGCTATATTTGTATCTGTACAATTGTAAGTTTTAAAATATTTTGTAATAAAGCTTTTAACATAAGATAAAAAGGAGGTACTTCACGTTTTCTAGTAAGCTAAACCTAGATTAACTGTGTCTTGTTGTGTTTGCATTTGATTATTACTTTACAATGAAAACAATTAATATTTTATCAAATATTTTCCATTGTTACAGATTAACTTTAAATGTCCTAAAATAAAAAATATTTTACTTACTTTGACACTCATATCAAAACATGTTTACTATTGATATAGACACTTGGAAAAACGACTGTATCTAAAGTGATATATATTGCTAAGTCTCCTTATAGTTTGAGCACTGCTTCCGAAACAAATAGGAGTTCATTATTATTAATTCAGACATGAGCTTGGGGATAAGAAAAGTAGCCTATTGTCGCAGGCATTGATTAGTCTCATGTATTTGCTCCTTGAACATGGGACGTACTTTTTACTGTTTGTTGACACCACGCGTTACTAACTAAACGGTGTATCGTAAAAATCAATGAACGCCTTTCTTTAAAAAGACTGACCCCGACGTGATTTGAACACGCAACCTTCTGATCTGGAGTCAGACGCGCTACCGTTGCGCCACGAGGTCTACAACTAGATACACCTGAATATTTTGTTTATCAATGTTGCCTGCCATCCATCATTTACGTCAGGGAAACGATTAACTTTTTAGTGAATAAACGCTACATACGATGTCAAACTGTTTTTCTACTGTATAACCGTTAAAGTAGAAACCTTTTTCTTTGTGCTCCAGTAGATGAACGTTATTTTATTCTCCACTAGATGGCCCTGTTTGACAAAATATAATAGATCAAATCACACTGTCATTAATATTTATGTCTATTTATTAAAATGTTCCAACAGCTCCAGGTAATATAAGTGTTTCAATCAGTCACATTGTTAAAGTGTTTATGGACTATGCATTATGTTTGGATGACCATTATTGTTTTATGATGATCATAGTGTTACCCAGAAAAATGAAAGGTTTTATCGTTTTTTCTAAAATCGATATAGTGTTATTTATTATTACATATCACTTTTGGTGGATATCTGGTTAATATTTTTTTTACAGAAAGCAGGCCCACATTACATTACATTTACATGAAATGTAAAGTGGAAGAAGTACTCGGATCTTGTACTTAAGTAAAAGTAGAAGTACCAGTGAGTAGGATAAATATGATATGTTTTATAATGATTGATCATCAAAGTGTTGTCAAAGCTGTTAAAGGTGCAGCTAGTTTGAATGACTTTGTATAGTGCAGGGTAGCTTGTGAATTTACTCCAGGTGGAACTAAAGACTGATTTAAGACTTGATTATATTTCATATCATTCATCCAGATCTGTAAAGTAACTAAAGGTATTAAATAAATGTGGGGAAGTAGAAGTAAGTACAAAGTAGCCAAACATTTAAGTAGTCAAGTAATATAGTGGAGTAAAAGTACACCATTTACCTCAGAATTTTAGTGAAATAGAAGTACAAAGAAGTAAAAGATTAAAATACTCAAGTAGAGTACAAGTATCTCAAAAGTGTACTATAAGTACAGTAATTGAATACTTTTACTTAGACACTTTACACCACTGGAAATACTCAAAATTATAAATGTGATGGCCTCTTAAAGGCATTTGCATGCTTATACATTTAATTAGATAAGTGACTCCCTCTCTCTTACTACCAGGCAACGTGTTGGCTGCAATTCTTCTAATTTCTTAAAGACAGAGGATGTGTTCTGTTGGTTAAACCCCATGTGTATTACATGCATAGTGTTTTGAAATGTAGGCCTAAGTGTCATTTCCCCCACAGAGGAAAAATTGAACTCAAGAAGGCAGTATTCTGTGTGTTTTCTCTGTGTCCTCTATCCTCTCGTAATGTTATATTATTTTAACAAATAAACAGGTGGTGTAGACACTGTTTAGGCTCAATGTGGTTCTGGTCTATTAATGTTGTTATATTTCCGTTTGGACTGGATACGGCCAATAAATCAATGTTAATTTAAAATACAGGACAATACAATATCCAAAATGGGGACATATCCAAAATATATCTGATGTAAGGAACTAGTGTAGGCCTACATAGAAACCAACAAAGAGCGAGACAGCGCAAGCGAGATCTTAAGATTGGTCAACTTCCTGTGCTCCACACACCTCAGTGTCACCAGTGTGTCAGTATGCTGATCTGAAACTCACACACTCCTCTGCATCTGAATCTACTTCTCTTTTGATCATCAAACAGGTATTGTCACACTTTTACTAATTTCTTCACATACTATCAAATTTGCTGTACTTCATGTGTCATTCAAAATGCGGCATCTTTCAATTAGACAACGGAAAAAAGCTGATTGAGTCATATTATAAGAGTCATATACTAGGTGGAAGTATTGGTTGCAAATAAGGACGAACAAAAAGCATTCATTCTTACTTTGTACACTTATCTATTAACCATATGTTGTACTTACCACCGTGTACGCTCAAAGGATTGAACAACCAAAACATTTATTACAACCAAACAGATTTTTGTTTTATTGTCAATAAATATATTAAAAGATATTTCCCAGTGATTCTTTCAGGAGTGACGGTGTAGAAAATCTGTGAAATTGATATTGATTGGTGAAAAAGACAAATGAAATCAGCAGAAAGAGCGGCAGGTTAAAACAAAAGCTGAATATGTGTTGGTTTATGAGGGGGAACTAACTTTAGAGGGAACATACGCAGTCTAATTAAAAGCACAGAAGAAGCTGAAAGGCTTTGCTGCGTCCGTCACAGAGCCGGCAGGTAAGCAATTTGACCAAAGCATGTCACTAAAACAGCTCTTATAGTCATACTAAAGTAGGCCTTTGATGTTGTTAAAGACACAATAATATATATTGAAAGAAAATGATACGGAAATGGGAAAGGGTTGATGGACCTTTAGAAATGTATCGCCTGAATCTGCAGTTCTGCTCGGCTTTACAGCGCTTTACACTGAGAACAAATACCAACCAAAGAGTTGGTAGGGACCAACAACTGAGCTAAAAATGGTGAACATAGGACTAACGTTTATCATATCCACGTAAACACGACTCCAGATGATGCCAGAATTTAAACTTGAATTTCCAAAAAATCTCAAAAGTTAGAAAACCAAAAAGTGATGTATACATATTAATTTACATTATCCCTTCTACTCTACGGCTTCTTAAGTCATAGATATACTGTAGTATCCAAATCCACATTTTCTTTGCTTTTTCTGTTACTAAATGCACGTCGTGTGGATATAAATATTGTACAAAAGGTGGGGTTTGATTTGTTTTAAACCAACAGTGGGACCAAATTTGTATTAGCTCAACCATGCACCTTGACCTCCTTCTAAATATGTGTCTTCGTTGCTTAGAGAATGTCAAAAACAACTTAGACTGTTTCTAACCACTGGTTTTCCTCTTGTGTGAATTAGGTCACCATGTCCCCCAACGTGGCCTACAACAACAGCTGTGCGGAACACATCAGCATCTTCTCCGTGTCCATGTACTCCTTCATCTCCACCGTTGGCCTGGTCTTTAATATCCTAGCACTGGTGTTTTTCTTCAGCCAAACCAAATCCAGATCTCAAACCATAGTCTATATGACTCACCTGGCCATAGCAGACATTCTGCTCATCCTCACATTGCCCATGAGGATCTACTACCATCTGGGATCTACCCTTGGTCAGCGGACCTGTGAAGTCCTCGGTTTGGTCCTCAAGGCCAACATGTATGGAAGCATCTTTCTCCTCACTTGCATTTGCTTCGACCGCTGCATGGCCGTCAGCTTCCCTATGTCGTCTCGAGTCCAGGCAGGGAGAAAGAAAGCTCCGTGGATTTGTCTCGGGATATGGATGCTCACCTTTGGAGCCAGCCTACCCATCTATCTTACCAAGCGCAATTATGTTAACAACACGGAATGTTTTGACAGCCTTCCTGTTTACGCTACAAACCCGGTGGTGGTTTTTCCAAGCCTGATTGTGGGGTTTGGGATCCCACTGGTCATCATGTTGATCTGCTCATGGGGTTTGGTCCGTGCTGTCCAACGTAGCTCTGTGGCTCAGACCAACTTAGTGGACAGCGGGAAAATCCAGAGGATGATTGCCACCAGCCTCCTAATTTTCCTGCTCAGCTTCCTCCCTTACCATACCATCCTGGCCGTCCTCTCTCTGTATAAAGAAGATATATCCTGCCCCATGCGTACTGCATACCGCTACAGCCTGATGATGGCGTGTCTCAACACAGTGCTTGATCCTGTTGCATACTATTTCACCACGGACACCTTCAAGAAGAACGTGGACATGGGCACTGTTCGGAGGATGTTTCTGTTGAATAGTCAAAGTTCCGATGTGAACAGGAGCAGGATGCCCAACAGCTAAAGGACTCAACAGACACACTGAAAAACAGAAACGTTGACATTCATTAATGTATTATATCGACAGATTTCATATAACTGAATTAGGTTGGTTGAATCTAATATTTTTTTTTTACTTAATATTATTGCTTTTTACTAACCTAAACAATGACGTGTGACACAAAACATTTAATTAAAGTCAACCTTTACATTTTTTGAAGTGCATGCAACATATCAAATCTGACGTTTAACCTAACAATGAGGACATTTTGGGATCATTTCTATAATGTAAACCCCAGAGAATGACAATGTATGTAATTCCCTTAAGTATTTCACCCTGTCCCTTTATTGCTTCTGTTTTATACATCATGGAGCATTATTTATGCATATTATTAAGGTTATCAAATAAATATGCTATGCTATCTATCAGTGAATATGTCTTTGACCATGAGTAACTGAACTTAAATAAATTGGATAATTATAAAAGAATAGAATTTTTTTATGATAGATGCAATATGAAATAGCTAATATGAGATGTATAAAAAACCTCTTTAATTTCTGCATTAAATAAGATCAAGTGCAAGGTGTTAAAAAAAAGGTTTGTGG